TAAAAACACAAAAACTTTCCGTTATGTTTTCAATTTGGCCTTGTTTTAAGACCATAAATGGAAGTATCACAATTTTTTAAGTTATAAATTATTGGACGTAAGCTTGCCCTTGGGAAAATATACCTTAGCAAACCTTAAAATTTTACTTTAGAAAAATAAGAAAGTTTGGACACTTTAAACTGTTATTGAAGGTAAACTTAAAACTTACCTCAAGAATTTAAAAGAAAACTAAGAATTGTGAAAGGTATGTGATATAATTTATAATACCGCGTGCGGTTTTCTTCTTACGAGAAAGTGCTATGCCGCGCGGGAACTTCGGACAGGCTTGGCTAACTAAAAATTGCTTTAAGTGTCCAAAATTGCTCTAAAATTTCTTAAGTAAACTCTTAGATTTGAAAGATTACTTTAAAAAACTTTAATTTCATTTAAAGTAAATTTTCCTTAGGGTGACTACAAAGAGCATTTAAAGTTTGCTGTAAATATTATTATTATTAATTACGTTATTTGTAAAAAAACTAAGTTTAGTATTTTGTATGTCAACCTCCAATTGGGGGAACACACTCCGTATATCGGTATATACTGAATTAAACGGCTCTCTCATCAATTACTTGTTCTACATCTTCCAGGTAAAAAATTTTTCATGCATGAACATGAATAAATATATAGAATTACATAAAAATATAAGTCACGGAGAGGGTGTGTGTGTGCGTTATTAGAGAGAAAAGACCTAGAAGGAGATGGCCCTCTCTCTCAAAGAGTAATAAGTTAGTAAGTTTAGATTGAAGTGTAGTTTTAAGTATAAATTTAAGTTTAGGTTAAGAGGAGTATCAAGTGGTGTATGTGGACATATTTATAAGATAAAAATAAGATAAGATAAAAAATATGTCTATACATATTTCTACATTGTATATTTCTATATAATTTTGTACAATTCTACACAATTTTTAATACTTTTATAGATTTGTATATGCTTATACATATAATGTATATGAAAAAATTGCTTGTTTATAATTATACAATAATTATGTACAAAATTATGTACATACACATAATTATAAATGAACAATTTTTCCTTTTTAAAAATTTTTATATAAAAGCGTGTATAAATCTATAAAATTATATAGAACTGTGTAGAATTGTATATAATGATATAGAAATATACAATGTAAGAATATGAATGGACATATTTCGTGTATAATTTTATATAACACTATACATATATTTATGCATGTTTATGCACGAAGAATTTTTTACCGGGTTACGATTAGTATTCAACAGAAAAAAATATTGCTTATTACTGAATTGATACACGGAAATGTAAGAAAGATGGCAGTACACGCTTGTATAAGCTTTTAATTGCTCTAATTCTGTGAATGTTATCCACGCAGCTGCCCTGCTTGATTGCACTGTCGAGCCTTTACCGATTGAGCAAATACCCTCAGCGTGTTTAAAATCAATGGCGTAGATGGGAGCCAGTTAAAAAAGAGCATTGTAAAAGAAATGGACAGCATAAATCGGCCGTAGTTTTAAAAAATTAATTTTGTAACGATATAACTGGTAATTTATATCGCCGCTATTTTACGCTGCGCCCCATTTGGCATCTTTTGACAGCGACATCTTGCCACTTCTTTCTATTTCACAAGCTTACGCTTTACCCAGCAAGCGTGTCGATGCGTATCGCAATAGCGTATAATTAAAGTCCAGCTGCGCCAGGCGATACGCCAACGATGCACCTTCGAATCTTTGATTTCACCATAAAAATTGACTTAATTTAATTAAACTTTTACGAGAAAGTTGGATAGATTCCCTTACGAAAAAGTAACGAAACAATTATAATAGAAAATTGCTGTATGTCAGTAATTAAATTATCAGAAATCACTAATGTACAGTAATTTTCTAATAATTATGTCGTTGCTTTTCATTGACTCTTGTAAAGCGTTAATTAGCTCAACAGTTCTTCGTTCCTTTAACGAGAAACAATGTAGGCAAAATTATAACGAAGTTAACTCTATCTAGCGCAATCAAATTGAATCGAAGATAGCAAGTTAAATATTCTCAAACAAAAAATAGTCGCTAGATTGGATTGTAGAAACGAAATCACGGCCAGATCCGGATGTTATCGATCTGTTCTATTTTCGATAAATGGACAAAATTATAACAAACGTGACACGGCACTGAAGAGAGAGAGCAGGGCCGGTTGGGAGTTCTAGGAAGCCTGCGGTAAAGAACTAGCGTCATCGTCAACAAACCAGAACACGTAAAGTTCGCTTCTTTCACTTGCACTAACTAGCATTTTTTGCATCTGAAATGAAACAGTGTGTGTACAGGGTTTCTCTGTCAAAAACCTCAACGATTGCCTGCATGTATTGAAGCTGCTACAACTTTTTATTATATTAGCCACTTAACTAACGCACAGTAAATTTCAAGAGAATAATTAGGACTGTCTTCAAGATTTGCGAACATATAATTTTCTTCTTGAACACTGTGTCTTTTCGGCATCAAACCGTTTAAGACAAAAGTGCATATAAGCCTTTCTTTATAAAATCACCGAGGAGTAAACCGCTGACCAAATTCATGTACACCAAATGCCTGCTAATGCATTCAAATTCAAACCGGTGGGCATTACTTATCTTATTATCTTATTTTATCCTTTTTAGCTTTTTAAATTCTTTATAACGCCCCAGAAAGGCCAAATAAAGGCCGAACCAGACTAGCGTCTGCCGACTCTGATTGGACTGGGATTGGCGATTGTCCTCTAGCCAATGGGAGTCGATTAAATCGCTGACTGCTTTGCTCTCGTTGGCTAGAAGACAATCGCCAATCGCTAATCCCAATCCAATTCGCGTTGACAATTGCTAGTCTGATTCGGTCTTTACACCCACAAATACCTAAAAAATGCCTAGTAATGCCGCAAATTTGTACGCCACCCTGCCCTCAGCGGTTCGCCCGTCAAAAATCACTTGGGGAATTAGTTTTTTAATTTTCAGAGTAAAAGTCAAGGACCACTTTATTCGGACGTTGGAAAGAGAGAATAAAATCGCCCAGTGCAAGAAAAATGCGAACAGAGTGAACGCGTGTCCGCGGTGAGACCGCGATACAAACTTCAGTGGCCAGTATTCACATTCGGATCTCATATTCAAGATCGTCTTAATTTATCTAAAGATGCTGGAACATTTCATTGACTACAAAGTATCTAAAGATAATCCTGAGACGATCTTAAATATAAGATCTGACTGTGAATATCGGCAAGTTTCACAAATCTCTGAAGTTGGCCGCTTTAGAAATCGTATCAGGGGCCCGATTCTCGAAATCATTCGAAGAAGAAACGTATACGAATATTCTGCTCTGACAGAAAAGATGCAAGTCGATTGGTTAAAGCCATGCGAATAGCCAATCAACTTGCAACTTTTCTGTGAGAGCAGAATTTTCGTATACGTTTCTTCTTCGAATAAATTCAAGAATCGAGCCCCAGCTAGATTACTGGCTGAGACCGAGATTAGATTGAAATTTGGCCAATCAGAGGAAAGTTGAAGAATCTCAAGTAGTGACTTTTACTCCAATTGGTAAAAAATTTCGATCCGATCTCAATCTCAGTCCGTAGTCTGATACAGGCTTTAAAGCCGGTCCTGGCGGAGAGAGATGATTCGTGACATCGGCGCGCTCAGCCAGCGGTTACCATGACGACCGGGGGGGCGATCATCTTCCCACCACCACGTACTGTCCAACGTAACCCGCCACCACCACCGCCACCTCCACCACCACCTCCACCGCCACCACCAACGGCACCACCGTGCCCGTCGAAGAGCAGCGCAAAGAGGAGCAGGTCCCCTCCATTGTACGTCAGTCGACTCAGTCGCTCGCAGTCAGTCGGCTCGTGTTGTCGACGGGGGGTTGTCGCGCGCACGTTTCGAGCGTTTCGCGTGTCGCGCACGCGTGCGTGTGTGTGTGTGCGTGCGTGGCGTGCGTGGCGTGCGCGTGTGTCGTCGCGCCTCCTACATGCTCCGGTCGCGTCGTCGACGTCCTCTCGGCTCTCGCGATCTCGCACGGTAAACGGCGGGCCACGGCCCGCGAAAACGAGGCGCACGCACGGCCGCGACGCCGAACTGCCCCCGTCGCGTCGCGCCCGCGGTACTCCCTCACGATTCAATAATGAGGGACATGGCAGGTAAGATCGCCGAGTTGAAGTTCGAGGCACCCCTCGCGCGCTTCGAGGAGGAGGACACCGCCAGTCTCAAGAACATGAACCTCCTGACAGGTGCGAAACGTGCACACCTTACTTCTCCGACGCGCCTATCCCTCGCGTCGAGCGACGCTCGTCCGGCCGTCGGCCTTTCGCGTCTGTCGCCCGGGGGCCGCCGAAACTCCGCGAAGTTAGCGACGATGGAAGAATCGCGAGCTATCGTTCCCACGTCAATTGGCGCAAACGACGTATCGCGCGAGCGCGAGCGCTTCTACCTTGCACTCCTTCGTCAGGCGGATGGCTGATACTTTCGTGGAAATATTAAATCATCCAAGAACACCGCTCGCGGCGGTGATGTAATTCTGCGTACGAGATAGCCGCGCGCGCGGCTCGCGACCTGAATGTTGATTCCGCGAACCCCCGGCTCTCCGGGGGTAAATCGATCTCTCGGGCGGATTGAAAAAAAGGAGCGGGGAGATGCACGCGGCGCGCGATCCCCCGAGGGGATCGACAGGTGTTACGGGGCCCTCGCGGTTTCCCTGCCCGGTACTGACGAATAATCGGGCGCCCGGACCGAGCGCTCGAAGGAATTCCTTGATACCTGCGCGCGGCGGCCGAAAGTGGTAAAACGAAAAAGCCCGGGGTTTTGCCTCACTTAGACCCCCAGACCGTACTCCGAATTTATTTTGGTCGCGCGGCCGCGTCACTCGTGAAATCGTCGCCGGTTAACTCCTCGCGGTGGGATATCCCCTCGGGTTCTCACGGCACCCGAAATGTCGTCGCGCTTTTTGCTCGCGAGCCGCTTCTCCGGCTCGACACCCACGATCCTCTGCCGCCGTCGAGCCGACCCCTTTCGAGGCCGTTGATTTTCTCGCCGCGGCGATAACCGACTCCTTTTACACGGTGTAACCGTAGTATAACCATAGCACAACTGGTGTGCCCACTCTGTCATTTGTTTTGTTTTGCGTCGACCCTTTCTGCGCATCCGCCATTATTTTGGCGGAGCCAATGAGATGTTGTATATGCGGTAGTGTGAAATCAATGTGACAGTGTGACAGGATTTTATACCAAAACCATGGCGAAATGCCACGTGATCGAAACCGAAAAGATCAAAGAACCGACAGAGAGTGGACATACAAGTTAAACTATGGTATAACTAGTAGGGTTCACTCTCTGCCGGCCTCGATCACGTGGTATTCCGCCGTACACCCGGGCAGGATCCTGCGACGTGTATGTGTGTGTATACACACTCGTCAAAGTCACACTACTACACATACAACTGTTCTCTCTGCCCAGAGCAATGTCGGATGCGCAGATGGAATCGGCGCAATACGAAACAAATAACGGAGTGGACCTACTAGTTATACTATGGTGTAACTAGTAGGTCCACTCCGTCGTTTGTTTCGTTTTGCGCCGACCCTTTCTGCGCATCCGACATTGATTTGGTCGAGCCAATGGGAGAAAAGTTGTATGTGCGCACGGAGAGGATTTTCTTGTAAAATGTGTCCTGAAAATTTTATAATCGTGGGATCGCCCGGCATTTTTAAGAATTTTATGAGAGTTTTCTGAAATTTTACCATGCGTTTCAATAGCAATTACACTTAGTATACATTTGACTAGTAAAATGTATGGTAAAATTTAAAAAAAAAAACTCTGACACAGTTCTTCGAAATGTCACGTTGTCCCACGATCACACGATTTTCGGGATAAATTTTAAGAGAAAATTCTCTCCGTGTAACCTTGTAGCCTTGATGAGTAACCCTAGTAGCGCAATATATTGGCGCAATATTGGGAAATAATGTAAATCTAATATTCTCAATATTGGTCCACTATCGTAAGATGGACGCCTTCTCTTATTTAGCCAATATGTCTATTTAGCAATATTGGTCTGCTATGGATACAATGTTAGAGCAATATTCTTATCGTTAAATATTGGCCAATGCACTTCCAATATAAATCTAATATTATATAATTATTATCGTGCAACATTTACATTTATTCCATAGTCAGTATTGGCTTTGCGTTGGACAATATCGGCCAGTGCATTTCTAATATAATCAACATTGGACCAATATTTAGCCAATGTTCTAATGCACTATGCTACTAGGGTACGTACACACACGTCCACATACACAGCGCTGGATTGCTGACCAAAGCAATGGCGGAATACCACGTGATCGGGACCGAAAAGATCAGAGGAGTCGACGGAGAGTGGACCTACTAGTTGTACTATGCTTTCTGCGTCTTTTTCTGGATTACACGGATACAGGCGAACCCTCTGAGTTCCCGTCTCCGGCGAGACCTCGATCGAATGTGCTGCAGCGCTTTGTGTTCGTCCCTCCGGTTTAATCTGCGCGCGACAGACGCCCGTTTTCGCCAACGTCGTTCAACTTTGATCTCGCGATAGTTCAATTCGTCCTTTGTCTCTTTCCAGCTATCCTCTTGGAAAGAGACGTAAGATGATTTAAACTAGGGTCGAAGTTAAACGGCGTTGATGGACATCGGGGAGGGACGTTTTCAAACGTGCGGATTAAAAACCACCTCGTGGATCTCTTGACATTCCGCGTCGCGTTAATTGCGTCGCAGAGTCGGGCTTGGCGCGAGAAGAAATATATATATGTATATATATATATATCGCGAGAGGGATGAGTAGGTACGCTCTTATTGGAGCGACGACGCGGTGTCGCATCCGATAACGCTCGATAGCGCGACCTCGGTTCATCTTTGCGTTTCGTCAGTATCAAAGTGCGACGCCGGGGATTAAATCTAGCGGTCAATTCTGTCTTTCTTCAAGTAGCTCTGTCTCTCTCTCTCTCTCTCTCTCTCTAACCGTCCCCTTAGAAAGAGACAAAGCCGCTCTTAGCATTTTCACTGTATTGTAAGGTACAGAATTGACCCCCCGGATCAATTTACTTCGACGAGGGAAAAGAAACGACCTCTGGGCGACGTGTAAAATAAAAAAAAAGACATTGTCGATATCCGCGTAATTAATGAAGAGGCTCTTCCCCTGTGCTCCCTTGATAATCTTGCCCTCTCGATTTCGCAGAACAATTATTGGACGCCAGCCTGGACGCGAGTTTCGGCGAGAACTGTAACAACGCGAACGAGCCGCCCGCGACGCACGAGAGCGGCACCGACATCCTCCAGGAAGGGACGTTCAGCCCGTTCAGCGGCAGCCTCGAGGACCTCGTCAACACCTTCGACGAGAAGATCACGTCCTGCTTCCGCGATTATGGCACCGACGTGGAGTCGTTGGCCCCGGTGCAGGTGCGAACGCAGGAGGAGATCATGAACGAGTGCCAGTAAGTCGTTCATCATCGTAATTGATAATTAGCCTAATGAAAATTTCCCCGAGGCGCCTATTGAACGAGGCGAGATTATCACGAGGGATAATCTGGTGCGCTACTTTTATTAATAATTGTACAAGGGCTCTCTCTCTCTTTCTTCCTCCCTCCCCCCACATTTTGCAATAAGAATTCTTGCGAAAGAAAAGAAAAATTGAAATAATAATAGAGTGATACTGTTAAAAATATTTATTTCGCAGGCGGCTCACTTTTTGAAAAGCCTCTGTGATTGAGCCAGAGAACTTTTGTCACCGTAAACTCTCAATAGGAAAAAATTTTTCGAGCTCTCTCTCGCTCGTTCGCTCGCTCTCTCTGCCTGTGCACTTGGCGCCTAATTGCAGTTTTGCAACATGGTATTGCGACGTGGAATTCTCTTTTTATTATAATTTGCGTTGTTAATTGTATATAGCGATTTCAGTTCTACCGTACACACCCTGATATCTCTCGCATTCATTCCTTCTCTTTTCTACCTTGTATTCTACTTTGTGCCATTTTCTCTTACCTACTGATTTAGGTTTATTGTCACCTCTGTGATAATGTCTTCGGGGGACTAGTCCCAGGGCGCTAAATAATTAACGATTCGAATGATTCTCTCTTTCTCGTCATCGGCTGAAAAACCGCCTCGGCATCGCGCGCGTTCGACCTCATTGACGCAATTACTTTAATTAAATCTGATTAACCGTGCACGTAAGTGGCCGCGGACCCTCGCGCGTGCAACCGTGCGCAATTTTTCGGTTCGCATTCACGAGAACCCGGTTACAGGTATATACCGGTTTCACCGGCGTATCAACGGCAAATAAATCATGACGCGTCGACGACGCGCAGAGTACACGCTCGCCTGAAAATTGCCAGGTAACCGCGTGCGTATTAAAATCGACGTTTACGTTTTGCGGAAACCTCGGCTTTCTCTCTCTCCTTCTCTCTCGCGGCTCATCCGTTGTAGCTTGGCTCGAAAGCGACGATTGCTGCAGCGGAAATAATCACTTATCGCGTTACCGTTAACCCGTTCGCTCGTCATAACGCGCGTGATACGTAACGCGCAATAACGGAGAGTATCCCCCGTCCACTCGGACAGTGGAACGCGGTCCAGTAATCTATTTCATCTCGACTCCTCGCACGCTCTCTCCCTCTTTCTTCTTTTCTCTTTCCTTAAGGCGCGTCAGCAATTTCACTTAATGCTCCGCTTAATGCACTGGTGCAACCCAATTACGCGCGCGGATTCGCTCTTCGCCTACATCGGCGAGCGGAGCGTCCAGACGGGCGTGAAAATTGTTGAGATCAACGCTTGCGTGACGATCAGCTTTGAATCGAAAATGAAGCTGGAAGATCTACCGCGCGCATATATCGCCGTGTCAATCGTCCGCGGCTCATCTTGGCCTTATTATTTGACGAGGACGTAGGACTAAAAGGAGGAGCAAGGAATCTGCCGTGGAAATCTCCTCTTATACTCGCGACGATATTGGATAGTGATCGATTTCCCAATGGAAGAAGTGTGTCGACACCGTTAGTACTCTCTACGCGATGTTTACGGCGCACGGTGCAGCTTTCTCTCCGAAGTGGCCCCAGCGCCGCCGCTCCACGCCAAAAAAGCGCATCTCGATTGTACGACTACTCGTGTACGAGCATTTCTTTTTGGTCCAGTTATTCAACAACGTTGTCTAACTGTGAGCTCATTGTTAGTTTAATTCGTTCTTTGTCTCTTTCCAGCTGCTACTTGAGAACGAGACAAACGTGAATTAAACTAAGACCAATGTCAAGCGACGTTTAGTGAAACCGGGCCTTAGAGCAATACGCAATACTGGACCCTCAAAGTGCACGCAGACCTAAATCTTTTTTTCTTATCCGCTACACGCAACAAACGCGCACGTTCAGCATGACGAGATCTTCCAAGACAACCTTGGCGGACATCGCCGGCGGGACGTGTTGACGCAGGCACGATTCGAGCCCGCGTCATAGACGTAATTCGACTGCGGATGTACTCAAGACATGACGTAATTCCCGATTGAACCGAAAACGTCAACGGTCGCTCCGAATTCTCTCAGTTTTCCGTTAAACTGACGGTCTTGGGATGCTGACGGGATTTCGCGAGTAAATCGAAAATTGAAGACGCGTGAACTTTAAGGGCCAGTTTCACAAATGTCGGTTAACTGCTAGCCAAAGGTTAATTGATTCTCTGCCTCTTCTAAGATAATAAGATGGACGAAAACAGGGAGTGAACTCTGGTTAACGCGCTGAAAAACAATTTTCACTACCGTAGCGAATCGTGGTTTGCTAAAAACATTTTGCTGCCGTAACTATAAATTTCTTAAGGGGTCATTCCACTTTAACGGCCCAAAAGCTATGCTTATCCTTAACAATTTTTTCACAGTAAATACACCATACTATGAAATAAATCTTCTTCGGATTTATTAGGTTCACTCTTAAATTACACCAAAAAATGTTTGTCATAATTTAAATAATTTTTTAATTAAGCGTTTTCTACACCGTTCGAATGGCGTGTCCTACACGGAAAGAACAATGTAGCTGCTGTAGCTAAAACTTAGCAAAATAGGGACAGCTAATATTTTTAGTTGTGACAGCTCAATATTTTGCTACGACAGCAAACCGTTTGCTGTCGCACCTAATACAATAGGCACAGTAGCAAAATATTGAGCTATCACAACTAAAATATTAGCTGTCCCCATTTTGCTAAGTTTTAGCTACAGCAGCTACATTGTTTTTTCCGTATAAAAGATGCACGCTGCGTTGATGACTATGACAAAAAAAAATTTTTTTTGTGTTATTTAAGTGCCCTAATATCCCAAAAAGATTTATTCCATTGTATGGTGTATTTACTGTGAAACAAAATTGTTAAAGATAAGCATAGCTTTCGGGCCGTTAAAGTGGAATGACCCCTTAACCACTGCAAACGGTTTGCTGTCACACCTAATACAACAGACGCAGTTATAGCAAAATATTTAGCTATCACAACGAAATATTAGCTGTCCATATTTTACAACTGAAATTTAGTCGCCACATGCAGTTTCTAGCTACGGCAGCTACATGTCTCTTTCCGTGCAGTTGCCGACGTTTGTGAAACTAGCCCTAAGTACCCAGCGTACACCGTGAGACGTGAGCTTGCGGTCAGCTTTACGGATTTTCGAAGCGTTTTGAGGGGCCGAGGCTTCACGCTACGTCGGACGATCCCGGCAAATATTTTAGTCGCGCGGTGTAAATTACAGTCGCGACACGCTCGTGGACAAGGCAAGGCTGCACGTCCTAACGAGCACAACCGAGCGGCGGCAGGTGAAACCCAACGAAGCGCGAAATTGTCTCTTCTTCCGCGCGCAGCCACGCACGGGGCTGTTAAAATTACATCGGATCATTCGCCTCGTCGTCCGCCCTCGTCGGCGGTGCACCGCGCGATTTTGCGATCGGTTCGTTAATCTCTCCCGCATCCTTTGCGAGATAATTCGCAGATGCGCTACATCTTTTTCAAGTGTATCTATCCGGTCTTCGTGCGACTCTCCTTGTTTATCGACGAAGAATCACTAAAAAAATATTTAAAAAAATTTTCTTACTAAAGGCCTGTGTCCACGATGCTAGGACTTGATTCAAGTTCTACAATAGTTCTGAGAAATGTGTGGCCAATCAACTTGCAGCTTTTGTGGAATAGCTGCAAATTGATTGGCTACACATTTCTCGGAACTAGAACTTGAACCAAGTTCTAGCATCGTGGACACAGGCCTTTACACAGGTGGATTTCTAGGTGTCGCAACAAACATTTATCGCTACTTTTTGGATCTGTTAGAAAATTGTTCGTAGCCTGCCAAGTTTATAGCAGCAACGTTCTAGTGATACCTTCTGGAAAGTTTAGGTTTCATGACTAAATATTAATCGTTCACCTTGGATAAAAATGAATTTCGGTACCACAGCTGGAACAATCTGTGTAAAGACCTGTGTCCACGGTGCTAGAACTTGGTCCAGGTTCTAGTTCCGAGAAATATGTGGCCAATCAACTTGCAGCTTGTATGGAATAGCTGCAAATTGATTGGCTACACATTTCTCGGAACTAGCACTTGAACCAAGTTCTAGCATCGTGGACACGGGCCTTTACACAGGTGAATTTATAGGTGTCGCAATAAACATTTATCACTTCTTTTTGTATCCGTTAAAAAATTGTTTGTAGCTTGCAAATTGTATAGCAGCAACGTTCTAGTGATGTTATACAAAACATATGCGATTTCGCAGCATTGACTATTCATTTATATATCTCAGTTACTTTTTTGTACCTAGAAAATTGTTGCTGCAGTTGCAAGATCATTTTTTTCAGTGAAGAATATCGTATTTTCAACGGAATCGTGAGGAGATTTCGAGACTTGAGCTGTTTAGAAACTTATCATTGCGAGGAAGATTCGCTTCGGAAAGAAAAATATCGCGGTTCGGAAAATTTTTTCTTTAAGAAGATTGCGATAAATAAAAGAAGAATCGCGCTCTGATAACGGAGGACAGGTTTCTTTTTCTCCTCTCCCTACTCTTTTTCTCCCCCCGAGCGGTCTGCCTTCTGGGATTCGCGGTTTCTGCGGGGCGAACGGCTCAAATGGCACCGTTCAGTTTCGATTTATACACGGTGCGGCGTTACGAAAGGGCGCTCGGCGAGGGTGGCATTATTCAAATGGCACGCTCGCTCCATCCCGGTGACTAATAAGGCCATCGACCCGATTGCGATCGCGACAAAGCCGCGGTAGCGATGCGAGCGCACGCGTTCGCGCGAAGCGCCTGCCTTCTCCGCCGCGTATTGCGCTGCCCGCTTTGCGAGCCAGGCTGCGTTTTTAAACGCAGTTTCCACGTAATTTTCCGGCCGTACTTTCTAGCGCGAGGCTGAACGCAACGCCCGAGTATCGGTCGCACCGGAAACGCGTGTCGGGCGGAGATTAATACGTCTGTCCCCGAGATAATTTGCGCAAACCACAGATCATCGTCGCGTGCGACCGATATACGAGCTTCTCGGAAGTCCAATGGTCGTCTCTATGAAATAGCAAGCGACAAACTCGAGGCACAGGGTACTATTTTTCCTGCTGGATTTCTTGCAAGAGCCAATAAGGCTGCAGAGTTTTAGATCAGATGACTTAAGGCTGAATCCTGATTGGCCCTCGTAAGCAATCCAGTAGGAAAAATAGTATCGTGTGCCGTTGGCTTTAGATCAGGTGACTTAAGGCTAAAGCCAACGGCACACGACACTATTTTTCCCCACTGAATGCTTACGAGGGCCAATAAGGATGCAGGGTTTTCGATCAGGTGACTTGAGGCTAAATCCTGATTGGTTCTCGTAATCCAGTAGGAAAAATAGTGCCGTTGGCTTAAATCCTGATTGGTTCTCGCAAGAAATCCAGTAGGAAAAATAGTATCGTGTGCCGTTGGCTTCATTATTGACAGACAAAGCGCCGTGGACCAATCACTCCGGTACTACCGTCAGTTTGGCTTCCGAGAGAGTTTTGCATAGAGTTGTATAGAGTATTGTAGGGAGTAGTGTATTCTTTTGGAGAAATATTTATTCCAACTTTTCCCCTCTCCTTTCTGAGTCGAACGACTCGCGCTAGATTCCCCTGGTCCGATAGATGAACGCTAGATCGAAAGTGAATCATTTTCCTCGCTGACGCTACGTCTCGATATTGTTTTCATATTGACGAAAACGCGTGGCATGAAAATTTAATCTCTGTTTTGCTCCTTCGTTCGTATCGAGCTACACCACCCCCCAAACAGAGGGCGAACGTCAATATCGGCGCGCATGCGCCTTGGATGGCGACGGCCACATCCACGAGGGTGAATTTATACGCGAAGGCTATGCGAGAATTTGTCTTTTAATTAAGGAGGAGTTTATAATGTTTTAATGTTCTCTCTCGCTCTCTCTCTCTTTCTCTCCTCGTCGTTCTCTTCCTCCTTTTTTCTACGGATTTTGCACGGGAACAAGTGAACTTGAAAGAGGCGACAAGGGCTGTTTGTGCAAAACTGGAAAATCCACATTTTTCGAGATTACGTTACTTCTACACTCGCTGAGCCTGCGTCCTTTTCTACCCGCTTCTGATTTTCGCGAGCACTCGGAGAGAAAAAGAGGATAAATTAGTTCGGCGGTTGGGCTTGCTCGTACATACCGTGTTGTATAAAATGTCTGGCCTTCTCGATGCGAACAACGTGTGCGCTGGAGATAAAGCCACTTTACATTAATCAGAGACTCAAGTGGACTGAGTTGACCTCGATTTATTAACCCACGGCATCAGATGGCCGATCAATGCGTTGACTCCCTGATACTCCCAGTGCAGCCATTTTTCTATTTCCACAAATGTGGATGCATACAGATACGTGCAAATTTTGAACAGGATAAACGTTTAGATCGAAATACCCGATATTCCGGATGTAATAGAGATTTTAATCACCTTGCTCGCTAATATAATACATTCCTCCGCACGATTTTTTTCCACGGGAATTAAAAATTTGCAACCCATAAATTTACATGCTTTGAATATTGAAGGAATTCGCGTGTAGAAATCGATCGAATTAAACATTCCGGGAAAATGTCGGCATCGCAGGAAAATGAGACATCGCGATTTTCTCGTCGACTTGATTTCAATATTTGAAGAAAGCGCGAGGAAGATTCGTGAAACGTGAATAATTTCGAGTTGGCGAAGCTGAGATATTTTGAAGGTCTGTGTCCACGATGCTAGAACTTTGTCCAAGTTCTAGTTTCGAGAAATGTGTAGCTAAGCTATTCCATAAAAGCTGCACGTTAATTGGCTACACGTTTCTCAAAAGTAGAACCTTGGACCACGTTCTAGCGTCGTGGACACAGGACCTTAAGAAAATTTGGCTTCCGTCTACCGCGAGAGGGTCGCGGCGCGCTCGAGGGGGGAGAAACAAAAGAAATTAACAACCGATTGATAACTTGGATTCTCCTAAGGATATCGCGGGAGGCCCGGCTGCCGTTTTCGCTGCTCGGCTCCCACGAGATACATTGTTCGCAAATTTGCGCCGCGTGCGGGGCGCCTTCGTTCCAGCGCGGCGGGTCTGGCCGTTGTTCGCGTGAAGAATCACTTCCTCTAGAAAACGGGCACGTAAACCGCCGGCGAACAAAACAACGCCATTGACTTACGTTTTGTTTGCACGTGATTAAACGTCTTATCTATGCGGCGCGTACGTGTACAATGCGTAACGCAGGAAACGCCCACGGACCGCAATGATTCACGCGACGTCCTAGAAAGTCCGTCGCTCTCATCACCATAGAGGGTGTCCCAAATGTGTCCCAATGGCAATGCTCACACGGGTATTATATAAATGTGTGTAAACACACGCGGTATTAAAAGAGCAAACCTGTCTTTCTCTCGTCAGCTATGTATATAGGACGTTCCAAACGCGCGTTTCTGCATTGTGGGACAACGCACGTTGGCACGACTCAATAACATCGCGGCATTATATCATCCTCGTAGGAACATCTGCATTTATTGATCGCGCATTACACATCGTGCTCTCGTAAATCGTGTCCTTCGTGCTAAAATTACTCGATATCTTTGTCGTGCATTCTCATTAACCTTTAGACAAACACCGGAAACTGTCGTGACATCTCTATGAGCAAACGTTTTCTTTACCCACATATATAGAGAGAAAGAGAGAGACTCCAAGTTACGTTCAAACGCCGGAGAAAGATAATTAAAGCATTATGGCAGAAGGATTGAAATAAAATGAAGATTGAACGATCTGAAATAATCGCATTACTTACGTTAGTAAAAAAATGACGAGGGGTAAACCGCGCTGACCAAAATCGTGTACACCAATGCGCTTGCTAATGCCCAGTGGGTGTTACTTTATCTTATTTTACAAATTGTAGAACAAAGGTCAAAAATAATAATAACGAGCCGTTAAGGATGACAGTGCAAAAATAGATAACATCAAGTATTATGTGACGCCAGTAAATGACTAGCAATGTTTAAGCTTCTAATCGACCATAGCTGGCGATGTGTTTTTAACACAGAAAATTTTTTGCGAAAAACATTTTTATGGAATCAAATATACGAGTATGCGAACGTTTCGGCGAGACTATGCCATCATCAATGCAATTAGTTGAAAACGTAACATAAATAGAAAAAAGAAAAATTAAGAATGTAAGATAACAATTCTTGTAAACGGACAGTGATAACGCACCGCAGGCAACCAAGTAAATGTCTGTGTTTTTATCTTATTTTATCTTTTTAGATTCTTTATAATTCCCCAGCAAGACCAAATAACACTAGTGCTAAAAAAAATGCCTAGTAATGCTCGAAATACAATGCCCTCAGCGATTTACCCACTCGTAAAATGATTAACGGCGTTTTATGCAATCCGATTAAAGTTTTGGAGCTAAGACGGAAGGCAATTCTCTCGCGTGCGTTTAAAAGAATTCGCATAGGCTTGTTACAAAAAAAGTCAACGTTCTGCATGTTTCGAAGATTTTCGAGAACAAGAAAGGAGAAGATGCTGTAATTTTGTGAACGGTATCACGAATCATTCGGCAGAGACGAGTGGAAAAAAATGACACATATTTAAGGCATTTGGCATCTTCTCTAGAGGTGTGGATTAGAGGATCTGAGTCATCTGTTGAGATTCTGCATCTGTTTACGCGTACATAAGCGATTGCTAAGATCAAACGAGCGATTGACCCTTAGCAGACGCCAAGAGATCCTTTGCGCCTCAATGATATACGCCTGAATTTTCTTTGCAGGATGTGGTGGACGATTACCGGAACCTTCGGGAATATATTACCCATCGATTGGAGCAAATCCTACGCGCGGAAGATGCACATGCCCGCTTTAAATCTAAACGAAGCACCGGCTTCGACGGAGAGGTAGATATGTTTCAGCTTTTTGCGCGTTTCATTACTTGTCACGAATATAATTATTCGTCGGCAGCTTACTGTGCACTTTGAAAATCAAATTTTCCCGAAACTACTCTGTAGTTATCGTCTTATCAGATAACTGACGTCCCTTCCTCACGTCAGCGCCAGCGCTCGTAAATTCAACGCTTTCGTTTTCTTTTGTTCGCTGTAGACCCGAGCTAGAGGATTTGAGTAGCGAAGACGAGGCAGTTGCCACAGATTTGGACATGCATGCTTTAATCTTATCCAGCAGTACCGATACTCACAGTCCGGAAGAGCCGCTGAAGACCGCTGAGGAAGTTCTTCGAGAGATAGATGACATAATGCAGGTAAATTCTCGGCGCGATGAAGTATGATTAAATGAGCGATTAATGATCCTACATCTTGTTGTCGCCGTAGGAAAGTCCGTCAATGGAGAGATCGCCGGATTCAGAAGGTTCTTTATTGGACAGCGATGAGGCTTTGGAAAGAAGTAGAGAAGTACTTGGATCGCCACTTCACGAGAAGAGTACGTTTTGAAACACTAATTTAATATTACTTAATATAAAAATATTCACATTAAACGTATGTATAATACATAAAATTAATTTCTAATATAAAAATACGTGTCGTAAAGCGTTAGATGTATTTTTAGAATTAAAGCAACTTTCCTCCAGTCAACTGACCGAACTTTTTGGAGAAATGGAGTCCTTGGTTGCGGCTTTGAGCGAAACATTGATCGCCGAGCTTGCGCTTCGGGACGAATTAGAATACGAAAAGGAACTAAAAAATCAGTTTATCTCTTTACTGTTGGCTGTACAAAATCGACGTAGGCAGCATCACGTTACGAAGAAGAGAAGTCAAATGCAGAATGGTACTAGTCCGTTGCCGCAACATAGGTCTTTGCAAGAGCCGAAGGTAACGTACACCGCTGTATGTAGTGAATTTATATAGTGAAACATTTTACACGGTATCTCTCGGCCGTTAAATTACGAATATTTTTACAGAAAATTAAATTTTCTATGATAAACCATTTCCAATTTGACTGTACAATGTAGAGAAAGGTAAAAACGATACAATCATTCTTGTTATAGTACCTGACGACCGTTATTCCATATCATACAGACAGTGGTCCGCCAGACAATCAAGCCTTGCAAGTACTTATCAAAAGTAAGTGTTTAATTATACAAACTATAGTTCTATATATCTAATCATATGTATCAATGACACGTTTACTTGCAGTATTAAAGGCCATTAGCGAGGATAGCCCGACAGTACCTACTTTGCTAACAGATTACATACTCAAAGGTGATTAGATTTTAAATTAAATCTTACTAAATTCTATACCACCGTAAACGTTAACAATTTTTCAGCATGTTACAAGCAGTGATATATATGCATTGCTAATTTTTACCAATAAGCTTTTAAAAAGTACTTAGCAAATCGCTATTCTGATTTCAGTGTTATGTCCGACTTAAAAGAATACGTGGAAAAAAAAACAAAACGTCAAGAAAATATCATGTGCTCTCTTCTTCTTGCCAGTACGCTTTCAGCCGTCATTGTGCCGCATATTGCGTAACTAGCTTATAAGTTACTTCAGTCACACTCGATTACTGTATTGGCTGTAGAAGTAGATAAGGTCTCCAATATTCTATCTAGTCTTAATTTATACTTTACGATATGTATATTACGTGCTTAAAGTATATCATAAGTATATTTTTAATAACTCGCGTAACATATATTATTGACTCGCGTAAATCTCGTACGTCATTTTCTTACGGTTTTCATATTTATATTGCATCATGACTCACACATCAATTCAGTTTTGTATTTTTTCTTGTACATAAAACTCCCGAGGGAAAGCTTTCATGCAGAGTCATCGCAAAGACAGCACAGAGCTCCTTATCTAGGATCTTACAAATCGCTACTTGTGTAGATCGGTTTCTATTTAAGGAATTCGAATTAGTGTACATTGCTGTAACGCTAGCTAGTATCTAGAGATGATACTTTCATTCACCGATATATCAGCTCAAAGAGTGAAACTCTTGCAGTGACGGTCAGTTAAATCACTTGCCCCCACCATACTTAATAATTGTTTTCACGCAACGCGCAAAAGTTCAGGACACTGTGTTTGTTAAAGTAAAAAAAAATAAATTAAACGACCTCATTGCTCTCGGATGTAATTTTTTGTTAACTCAATTGCATCGTTACTTGTATCCTTATACCTTGATTCCTCTATCGCAATTTCTCTTTTTTATTTACATACTTCAAACTATAACAAATGTGTATTGCGCAGAGATTACACTTTATTATTAGACAAAAATCGTGAAAGTATATTCCGTTTGATATTACCATTAAGTACGATTACAATTATATAAAAAATGTCAAGATTAGCCCCTACAATATCGTACAGGACATTGCGGGGCTAAACAGCTAGGTTGATAGCAACAGTTTGAACCTCGACGATACCATTTGATCGTCTAAAAATAAATTGTATAATTGTACTGAGTATCTATCTTAGGATACAATGTATATGCAAAATTTATGTGGTAATTATACAGATCCAATAATAAAAACTTTGCTGGCTCGCTTCAAATGATTAAATTCATTGAAAGAATGCATACATACACCTTGTTGAACATAGCTGCGGCCAGGAATAACGTGCGTCAAATCCACTCCGACGTTATGCATATTAGAAACTTTCAGAATTGTCGCAGTCGAGCAATATGTAATTAGAGGCCTCTTTACAGGAAATGTCCACGCTGGTTTACATTCATCAGGGCTAGGCTTAACGTGCCACGCATCGGGATCGTATCTGGCATCATATTTAACGCACATCGCCGGTTTGGTCTTGCTACGTCTACAATATTAATTAAAGTGGCTCCTTTATTCCTTTCCGATCTCAACAATTCACTTTGAGCCTCTATCTTTGAATAAACTGCATGTTTTTCTCACAAAGAATCCATCTCAGCAAAGAGACACTTTAAACGTCGTAGTTCTTGGCCAGCGCTACACGTTTGGTTGGAGAAACCCCAATTTCCAAGCGCTTCTGACACACCGGTACCATAGCCTTTGGAAAACTCGTACGTGCATGGCATTGTCGGCACCGCCATTTCTTTCGAATAAATTCGAATAAATACTTGTCAATTTTGCGAAAATGTCATGTACAAATATCGTTCTACAGGAAGGAAGACAGATCCATTGGCTGTTTGCACTGTGAAGTTCGTTGACGTGCAACCTTCGAGCTTCTTTTTAAACAATCGCACCAGTCTTCACCGATACATACACAACGTAAAATTCACACGAGCCAATGAATTTGGTAAACAATATATACAATGTATCAGAAATATAATTTGATTCTTACAATGAATGTACCTTTATTTTATTCTAACAGTGTGTAACATAATGGAGAAGGATATATGTATATATGTATATATGTGTGTGTATATATACATATATATATTCATATACATATTATTATATGTAACATGTATATACACATATACGTACAGTTACATACACATATACGTATATGTTTATGTATAATAAATGATCTAATAGTAAAATAGTCCATCTTTTTGAGTGATTTTCAATATTTATATCTTATCCTAAATCATATTTTATAGCGTGTGTTGACGTAGACTGTCACATCGAAACTTCATTGACATTACCGATTTTATGTGCCATGTTGACTTTTTAATCATCTTCATCGATATACACAAATCACTTCTGATGTTTAATACAAACAGGACCACAATTAAACAGTAGTATATGCACTGAAAGTAATATTTTCATACAATAATTAATCATAATAAATTACAAAAGATATAATAATTTATTAATCGTAATATTTTATCATGTACATGAAGAGTGCTTACCGTCGCTTATTGAATTTTTCCATCAATGTAAGCTTTTATAGCAGTCTGGCACTCTGTGGTGCACCAATGCTGAATCAATAAGTATGTTTCTGATTCCAGTGCGGCGTCTAATTTTTTCCGTAAACTGTGACGTAGCAAAGTCTTTGTTGCTTCCATGGACTAAAAATAATAAGTTTTTACATACATGCAGCTGTGATCCGCTCTTTTTATATCTTATATTCCTATTGTTAAGTCTACGTTCATCATATTTATCAAAATGTGCTCAAATATTGCAATAACGGTAATATTGCAAAACAAATTGATGTTATTACCAACACTTCGATTTGTCATACGTTATATCACATCTCTGTATTTTACAAAAGAAGCGATGAACAATGTCATGAATATTGCAAAAGTTTCGTAATTACGAGTCATGTGGGAGCAAATGCAGAATCGAGAATGTATTAGCATTATTGCCACTCGCGTTGATATAATCTCGCTCATGACAATCGAATCTAGCGCAGTCGAGTACGCACACGATTGTAAATATGTTTATCAAAATTTGCTTCTTCGTTTCCTTGATAAGCGCGAGTGCCGGTGTGTACACGACAATCAGCAGTAAGGCTAACAATATTACGTTCAAGTACATGAAGGGAGTTCGTATACGAAATTATACTATCGAAATAGATAGTCGCAAGTGTGTAACGGCTTGATAAATCTCTATTGAATCAAAATAGGTCGAAGGGGAAAGTGATTTACATAGCTGCGAACCGTACGAGGTATGTAATGTGATTCACGACCGATTTTGGATGTCCGGTTTGACGGAAAGACTTTGTCACTGTCCTAATGGAATAGAATGTCCATGGCAATGGACGAAAAACTTTGATAACTCAACCATGTTTCTCAATAACAGATCCGTTCTAAAGGTATCGCGGAAATATTGAGGTAACTACACTAAAAAATATATATCTCCTTTTCATGACATTTCGTATTTCCTGACACAGTTCTGCACACAATTAATGGAACTGGAGACATGCACGCACAAACAAGAAGCAGTGGTAGTACATGGAGAAGGTGATACGAATAATAGTTATATAATACCGTACAACGTAACAATAAGTTGCATATGTCCGCAAACACACTACTGGAAGATACAGAAATACACGTACGAAGAGCACGGTCTCGTTCAAATATTCAGATGTGTCAAGGTACATCTTGCATGTGTGTTCAAAAAGAGAAAATTGCTTTTGCATTTTACGAAACTTTTTCTAATAATGTAAAAGTATTTTCTAGTATACAGCCGTATAATTTAAATATTTTTTCTTATATATAACATATAGAACTACGAATTCTCTCCTGTAGTCTCTTATTTGAAAAGAAAATCAGGAAAATGGAAAAGGTTTATAAATTTAATTTACTTTAGTATTTAATATTTTTTCATTTACCAGCACATGTCATTTACTGAACGCAATTTTTTTTAATGCAGAAAAGAATGTGCGAGTCTTTGGAGTTTTGCGGGTATATACGATCTGATCTATACTCGACATATTACAAATGTACATGCCCAGAAAAGCACTTGTGCGTTTTCAAGGATAAAACACAGGTAAATGTACAGGAATTACTCTATTCCGGGCCTGCTTATACGGCTTATTGTTACCGTTATAAAGACATTACAATTTAATAAATGTGTTAAAAGTACTTTTATAGCGATATCATGTATGTAAAATACAATAAATGTTAAATGTATCTCGAAAGCTTAGTAACATTATTGGGCACATTAAGTAATAACATTAAAATCAAGAGGCATTATTATACGTAACTCACCTGTGACGATTGATCACTCATAGCCCGCAATGATGGTAATAATTCTACTTGAAATCGGTCAGGCCATAAAACTCGAGTAACGAGACCGGCTCTTAAAGCCTCGCTTGCTGTTAAAGTCCTTCCACCCAAAAGAAGTTCGCTCGTCTATCGAAACGTATTGATGTGTCATCTTTCTATTATTCTCCCGTTATGTGTTGTAAAATTGTTCGCGACTTACAATTGCACTGCCTAGTATGTGTGACAAAGTGAAGACCGCAGCACCTTCGGCAATTTGTCCCAATTTCCCGTAAGGTGTACAGAATGTCGCCTTATCACTAGCGATTACAAGGTCAAAAAGAGGCAACATTGTCACTCCGAGCCCAACCGCAGCACCCTGTACCCCAGCCACTATGGGTTTCTTGAAATTAGCCAAACTTTTTATGAACTCCCTAAAACGAGAAATAAAATTTTCAGTAAAATATCGTAGAAAACATCATATCAGCCACCGTGCCTTCCCACACGCGCCTAAATACATACTTGACGGCGCTTGCCAGCTCCTGAGCAATAGATCGTCGCTCCTCCTTATTTGTGTGCAATAATGTTGAAAGATCGAGACCCTCACAGAAACTTGTACCCGTAGACGTTAACAGGACTACCCTACACTCGTCGTCTCTGGTCAATATCGAGAGAGCCTCTCTGAATTCTTGCATCACCTAATACAATTAAAAGTAAATATACTTAGCAGTTTGTACAACGACTTGGAGATTGTCCGAGCGCGAAAGTACTTACTTGCAGCGTAAGAGCATTTCTTATCTTTGTCGAAGAGGATGGGGTAAGTATTAATTGTACGAGATTACCGTGTCGACGCACATTAATTTCCTTATTGCTGAATTGACTCTGCGTCTCAGTTTTCGTTTTGTTACTATCTACGTCCAACGTTTTCACGGCATTTGTATTCACTGGAATATCGCATTATATTTAGCGTATGCGTTCGCAACAAATTACTTTTAACACTTTATCACGTTCTCACATGAGAAAGTGAACAAGTTAACCGTTAATATTTTCATTTTACAAAGAGAAGGTGTTGAAAGTTTACCTTTACCTTTGCTCTTTCGTGTGGTCGCAACGTTTCTGGCATTGACGACTGAAAGAGCGTTAGCCGCTTCAGCGAGGCAGGCGGACAATTCATCCTCGTTCCTCATAGAATCGTCGGTATTATTGAGATCATTTGCCTTGGCAAAAGTCACTTTGCTCTTCATAGACTTTTTGCTCTTCGCCGTTACTTTCCCCGTTACCGCGCCGTTCGACGATCTGGTTGTAACTTTACTGGAAACGTTGTCCTCAACCGCGGGAATGTTTTCCTGCTGCTTCCCGATCTTGTCGGCTTTCTTGATCTCCGACTTCTTACCGGGACGCGCAACGACAGTGGCTTTCTCCTCTGCATTATTGGCAATAGCATTGTTAGCGGCTGTGGTAGTCGCGGCGGCGGTGCTGGTGCCGGTACCGGTAACATCGGTCTCAGACTTTTGTACTGTTTTCTTCTTCTTCTTCGCACTGATCTTCTCCTCTTGCGAATCCCGTCTCTTCTTGGCGGATCTCAGGGAATGAACTGTTCCGTCCTCCGACTTGGCGGCTTCCGTAGATTTCTCAGGCGAGTCGATGCTAACTCTGGGGCTGCCGGACGCGCTCGAGAACGAACTGGACGAGTGTCTCCTGACGATGATGGACGCATCGGCCGCGTTTCGGATCTTCGCAGGAAGAATAAATTCCGTGGGCGAGGCAGCGGCGTTCGGAGCCTTCGTCGACGCCTGCTCCACCGTCTTTTTGTCCGCTTGGGCGTCCGTCGAGTGGATCGCTCCTCTCTTCGATCTCGGGGACACCTTTGTGACACTCGCGACGGTAGACGTGCGCAACCGCAGCACGGCATTGCGAACCAGTTTTTTTCTAATTTTAAGCTCACGCTGCACCTTGTGCAGGTCCATCACCTTCGCACGCGACTTCGTGATGGGAACCAAACGCTTTCTATCCGGCTGCTCTACGTCGTACAGTAAATTGACGACCCCCTCGTCCTGCAACAATCTGTCTATCTCGTTTATGCTCTTCTTCTTGGGCCTCGCGTCACCGGACGGGCCCTCGGCCGTTCGCTTCGGCGATTTCGCGACAGCTCTCGGAGGCATCTTCTTCGCGGGAGACGGCGACGTCAGTTTGGCTTTCAGTCCAACGGATTTCTTGTCAATCGGCATCTTTTGCCGCAGCAATCGCTTGACTACCATTGTCCTCTTGGCAATCGGTCCCTTCTTAGCGAGACTGGGCTTCGACCGTGTCAAGGGAGAATCTTCGGCTTTACTCAGGACTGGATCTACTTTATCCTCGGACTGTTCACTTACTACTTCTTTCGCGACAGTTTTTTCATTATTTACAGCATCAACGCTCGCCGCAACGTGATTCTTAGTCGCTAAGCTATTATCGGAGACAGGCTTTTCTTCCGTTTGCTTCTTACTTATCGAAACTTTACCCCTGTACACTTTCTGCCGTTTTATCGTATTTTGTTCATGCTCCCTCGCCTTTTCAGTGGGTTTGCGCTTTCTGCCCGATCTCGACTCCTCTACTCGCACGCCCATCTGCTCCTCGCTTTGGCCTCTCTTCTCGCGAGCGTACAGCTCGCTCTCGGCTGACTTTGTATTCGGTTGCGCGTTCTCACTCGCTAAATCCATACTAGTGTCCTTTCGCTGTGCAGCGAGCGAGGACTTGGCGCCCGCGGTCGCGTCTTTGGACGCTTTACTGGGCGCCGCTCGGAACGTTTTCTTTTTCCGCGGTGGAATCTTCTTGGACGGTGTTATGGGCAACTCCAGGAGCTGTTTCAACGCCAGTTCTCGTTCAACCAGCGGATCGAGCTTCGGCGGATTGCTCTGCTCGGAGTGCTCCACGTTCGACGGTGCTTTACTCTCTTCCGAGAGAACTGGAGCCTTCAGCATTGACCAGTCAGGCTCGATGTCACCCTCTAAAATGGCCAACAGTTCCCTGTTGTCGGAATTACCATCCCTGGCCGCGTCACCTGTGGTCGCGTTCTCCACCGCAGTCTTTTTGTCGCTGTTAGCCGGCGCCGGTTGAGCAGTCGCGGAGGAATTGGAAGAAGCCGTTTGCTGCGACAACGGTATCAGTTTCGGCAACGGACTCACCGGGCTGCCCGCTAGCGTGCTGGATAATCTTTGCGTCAGTTTCTTCACGAAGAATATGTCCGGGCCACGCGGCGCGTCCACGTTCTTCTGCTTCTCGCGGAAACGCTCCTTCAACACCTCCGTCACTTCCGCCGGCGACGCTATCTGGCTGGTCAAGTGTCGAGAACGGCTCTTAGGAACTGCGGTGTCGCGCGGCGTCGCGTTGGTCGCGCGCGTGGATCTGCTCGCGGCCGACTCGGAAGCACTCTTGTCGCTCTTGCTCAGCGACACCGCGTCTTTGTCGATTACTTTGTTCTTCTTTTGATTCTCCGTCGGCTCCGTCGACTGCCCCGTCGCATTCTTATCGGTGCCCGCGACGTTGCGCGCCGCGCCGCCTTCTTCGTTCGCCGCAGGAACCTTCTCCCGAGGGCTCACGACCGGCGACTCGCTCGAGACAGTCTGGTCCGTTCTCGCCTCGTCCAGCAGGCTCTTCAACTCGATCTCGACGGAGTCGTGCACCTTCGAAGTCGACTGCACGTCCTCGTCCGCATTCTCGACGCCCCAGTCGTCAAATATGTCCTGAATGACGCTCCGTTTCTTGGTCGACGAGTCCGCCGCGGGTGCCTTGCAGGCGTTCGCATCCTGTTTATCGCACCCAGCCGTCTCCTTAACGCTACCGCCATCGGCGTTCTCGTATTGCGGCAGATCTGTAACGATCTCCGACTCGACCTCGCTAATTATGATCTTCTCATCTATGATAATAGTGATGTCCTCTTCTTTATTATTCCCCGGGCTGATCAAAGCTTCCCCACCGCTCGCCTCTACCTTGGCATCCTCGTCGTTTATACTTTCGCTGATCGCAATCTTCCCGTCGATCAGCTTCACAGACTCGACGCCGCAGTTATCACCGTCCACGTAGCCCGCGTTATTTTGCTCTTTGTATCGTTCGGCGTGCGGGGCGTCTATGACTTCCGTCACCTCTATTATAGTGTCGTCGCTCTCCTGGCTGTAGTCGATCAGCTCGATCTCATTGCTCCCGCGGTCAGGATCCGCCATCTGTTTCTCCTGCGGCGCAACGTTTTCCTGGCCGCGCTCCTTACCCGGGTCCTTCTCGTTCAGATCGACAATAAAATTGTCCCCTGTCGCGTCGGTCGCGACCACCAAAGTCTCCACGACGATCTCGGTCTCGTCTTGTTCCAATTTAGCCAAGACGGCACTAGTCGCTATCGAGTTATTCCGATTGCCGTGGTCGTCGTGCGTCGTCCCCTTGTTCGTTTCCTCAACTGACTCGTACGAGTCGCGCGTCTGGCCCCAGTGTTCGCTAAGTCTAGACTCGTCTAGCGCTACCTTCTGCTTAACTACGGTATCGGATTGACACGCGTCCTCTATTATATTACAGTCATTTTCTAGACTATCCGCCACCTCTTCTTTTATCACTTTAGACTCGGTTATCACATTTAGGCTTTGGTCTTCCTCGTTGGACAAGCGTTGGGACTCGTGATTCGAAAGTACCTTATCCTGCACGTCGTGGATCTCCTGCTGCTTGCAGGCCTCCGCGTTCAGTTGCGCCGGCTCGGACTCCACGGATTCCACCCGGTTGCTCGCATCATCGTCGACCGCTCCAGCGGATATCCCGCCGTGGCTCGCGTCCACATAATCCTCCGACGCGACTGCAACGTGAACGCTGCCCACAGTCAACATGGACTCTGGCGGTTGTTTGCACACTCTGGGGAGATCCTGGTCGCCATCTGTCGCGGAAGCGACGGCTCCCGCGTCCGGTACGGCGATCTGAGCTGCTTGCGCGTCAACATCCGTCGGGACCTCCTCGACCAGAACTTGCGCCCGCGGCGAGTCCGACTGTTCCATGATGAAGTGATCCAAGATACTCCGGACTTTTGTTACTAGATCAGTTCCCTGTTTCGCAAGAAAATAATATCGTGATAGAAGTCTGACGATACCGTGCAGCCGCGAGAACCATAACCTAGCAGGCGGTGTCGCGCACAAAACGCTCGCGAGTGTCGACAACCCTCGTGCAGAGCGATCGATCCTGCGAACGCGACGCGAGTCGCGAGCTCGAAAGTCCGGCCGCGAGCGCGATCCGCGCGCGATTATCCGGCGACCTGGGGCGCGCGTGAGGGCAGCGAGTTAACGGCGAAGCGGAGGCTCGGCTATCGCGGGAAGGGCAAACAACGTACGCTCATCGATATCGATATCAGAGCGCGCCCGCGACTGCTCCACTTCGATCGCCGAGCAATCGACAGCCGAAAACGCGGGGAGGGGGAGGGAGGCCGCGAAGCAGGCCGAATGGCAGAGCGCAGCGAGCTTACCGTGTAACGCAGATGTGCCCATACTTCTCGTACTCCCGGTGAGAATCACATGATACACGCCGGTCCTCACGAAGGGGGGGCGGCCGTACCGTGATCGCGCGCGCTCAACTCGCGGAACTCGCGCCCGCGCGCAGCGTAACAGCTAGTCGGCCCTGCGGAAAAAAACAGTCGGCCCGACGAGTCCAAACACCATGGTGTTTACAACAACGAGCGCCCGGGGGGCGGCCAGGAGAGCCTCTCGCGCGCCGCGCCGCGCACGACCGTCAACTCGCGGCGCCGAATGTGTCGTCGCCGACGCGCCCGCGAGATCGATGTCGCGCGCGCGCGGGATGAACGGTGCCCCCCGCGGGATCCTTCCGCAGCCACCGAGCGAGACGGCCGCGGGACTCTATCGTCGAGATGAAACGTATGTACGCCAGTCGTCTCCCCCGGGTTCGTTGCGCGCCTGATCGCGATTCCCCGACGGTGCGTGTGCGTGTGCGCGCCCACGCGAACGACAGAATTCGGTTGCCCGCACTGCAGCCGGAGAGCGCGCGGCACTCTCAGGGCCGTTGCGCATGAACGTGTCCGAGCGCGAGGACGGTACTCATAGGCCGGTATTCATAGTCGATTCACAGTATAACCACAGTATAACCAGTATGCCCACTCTCTGTCGGCACTTTTGATCTGGGCGTTCTCAATTTTCCGCCATGTTTTTGATAGCCCCAACAGTGTATCAACGGCTAAAAGTGCCTGGGCCCTTTTCAGGATCGTATCCAGGAAAGGCGCGTACGAACTAGCGTACATTATTTATTGTAAATGGAAATGGCCTATGAAAAAAATGTTCTAATAAAAGTAATTAATGTAATTACTTGCTCCAACGTATAAAAGTATTAACGCGTTATTCGTCAAAACTGCAAATTTTTCAATGTCACACCGACTTTGCACTAACACACGTACAAAAATCCTGTGATTGGTCATAGCTAAAACATGTCGGATGCGCAGTACGGATCGGCGCGAACGTGAAACAAAAGAGCGAGTGGGCATACTGGTTATACCACAGTATACGTTGGAGCAAGTAATTACATTAA